GTGTCATATCAATGACTAATGGGTGAAATAATACTCGTCCTGATTTGGATACAATATCTTTCCACAAAGTATCATTAATACTATAATGATGGCAGTTCAACAATTCATTCATATTTATGTTAATGTTTTATTTCATAATTATTTAATTTAGAAATTGCACTGAAATTATTGGATAAACATGATTTCTAGATTAATATAGATACAGTAATACAGTATGGCTCATTGTGACAGTATGGCTCAATAGCGTACACAAGTTAGGATTTCAGCATTTATTCCAGGAATAAAAGGCACATTTTAGTGCAACAATATAGGAGATATTTTTTTCTTTTTCTTTAGGCACACATGACATAAAAAGGTTTGAATTATAAATAAGACCACAGTCTCCTTTCTTCTTTATATGGGACCGCCTCCGTGGTCTTGTGGTAGAGCGTCAGCCCGGAGTGCGGAAGGTCCGGGCTTCGATCCCTGGACGCGTCATACCAAAAGACGTTAAAAGATGGTACTTGTTGTTACCCTGTCTGGCGCTCAGCATTAGGGGCTAAAACAAGGACTGGTCAGCTCGGAGTCAGTATACTGTGTCTGAGTGGGGTATTCATGTTAAACTGCGGCATGGTATCTCAGTGAGCTAGCACTATAAATCGGCATCAGTCCGGACTGGTACAAGCAGCCAAACACACAGACACACGTGCATGCACTCCGAGCCAACCAGTCCTTGTAGAAGCCCCTTAATGCCGAGCGCCAGACAGGGTAACAACAAGTACCATCTTTTAACGTCTTTTGGTATGACGCGGCTGGGGTTCGAACCCCTGACCTCCCGCTCTCCGGGCGGACGCTCTACCATTAGACCACGGAGGCGGTCTAACAGTACATGAAGAAACGGTGGCAATATTGTACAAACTCTACAAAATACATGCATAGCTAATACAAAACACACAGATATGTTCCAGATACATATGAGTTACATTTTAACAATGTGATTTTAAAACAAATATAATGTAATATAATTATATGGAAACAGTAGGAGAATTGCACAATATTGTGCTCATGTACTGGAACTTAATGCTTATTAAACAATAATGAAACTTTATTTAACTTTGTAGATATGATAACATATTTTGGGAATTGTTTCTGAGCAGCTGTTGGTAAGAATTAAGAACTGTTCCTTTTCACAAAGTGTACCAAATTCTTGATCATGATTGCAGAATATCTGGAGAAATTATTCTTTTTCTTGATTATATTTGGTACAAGACATTGCATAGCATTGCTCATCCTCTAAAACTTTACATGTGGTGTAAAGATGTTGTTGTAATTGATTTTTTTTGTATATCTACCAGTTTCAAATTTTAATTTAACAAAGTTTTGAGATATGAGCTTAGTTTTTGTCTTACGTCTTATGAGATGCAAGTTCATGAATGATATGTGCATGGCCACATTTTTTAAAAAGATTCTGAATATTTCATAACACCTTCGTCCTTCATATGTTAGGAACATGCAGAGATATCTGTACCAGAAGCCAGTGTATCACAGTCAACAGCAGCAACCAGTGCCTGTATAGTCCTGACATTATCCCCCACCCCCGCCCCTCCAATGCCCCCCTAAAATAATGACAGGATGTCACCCTCCCTCCAACAGTAGCACAGGGTGAAGGATAAGCAGATAAAGAGATACGCTTCAAGACAATTTACTCAATCAAGAATCGACTTGTGTGTTATTACAACACTGATTGGTCAAATTACAGGAAGATGGCCCCAGAGCTTCCTGACTCAGTGCAGGAAATGTGAGGGGGCATTATGGATTGTCGGGTTGTCGGGATGCAGGTGATCATTTATCTGTATTTACCATTATGTAACTTGCTTCATTTTCAGCTTAGGGGGAATATGTGGCCCTGTGGTCTGAAGTGCTGTGACTTGCTGTGCTGAGTTGTGTCCCTTAGCCATGTCAGGATGTACTGGTCTCCGAAATTAGTACCTGCTTGCCTGCCTTTGGCTGGTAAATTTCCTGTCTGGCTGCGTGAAATTTTCCTCCCTCTGCCCAACTGTCTGGGAGTTTTATCATAAATCCTTGTAGATTCTGAAGTAATTGTTTGCGTTATTTCAACTTAATCAAGACACGATTTGTCTCTTATTTTTAAATATTTATAATGTTTGAGTGAGTGAGTGTGGTTTTACGCTGCTCTTAGCAATATCACGGCGAGGGACACCAGAAATTGGCTTTACACATTGTACTCATTTTAGGATTCAAACCCGCAACTTTGGCATGACGAGCGAATGTTTTAACCGCTAGGCTACCCGACCACTCTTGTAGATGTTTGTCTTTGTTGACATGAATTAACTTTTTCATCTTTAAACCCCCTCAACGATTGCCTATGTTTTTGTGTCAGGGATCAAATCGCGAATCTTTTCGTTATCTGATCGACTAAGTTGTAGCCTATGGTAGTCGCCATTTTTGTGAAGCTATACGAGATAAGAACCTCGATCTGATTGGATATTGCATTTCATTACAAGGGACAAAACTTGTGATCTATGTGAGGTGGCACCAATGTCGAGCCAAGAAAAGTGGCCTTGATGTGACAAGGGTAGAAACTAGGCTTTGATATAGGCTCGTGGACACGCTTGCCTCGGGAATGTGTAGGCCCTTGTACATTTTGCAATACACCGATACTGCGATCAATTGGAACAACCCTATGTCACAAAGCTGTTCTGTCTAGACGCATGTATGCTGTGACAGTGTCATGAATATTCATGACCACATGGCCAGGTTTTACTATGCCTGCCACCACTCATATTGTGCAATTATGTTACAGGTTTGCTTATTTGTCTTCAACGCACAACAAATTTGGGCCACAATACAGGTATGAGGTCACAAGTGGTGGTTTGAAATTAAATTACCTGTGTATTGAAACTAAAGAATCTCCTCCTGTTTTGTGTGTTGATCATGAATGAACTGATTGGGTGCTGATGCAGGTGTGTTGGGCCATTAGATAGAAATACTGCATGTTATAATTAGTTGAATGTTTTTTCATCAAAAAGATCATAGATCATGTTTCATAGTGGAGCCATGTGATGTAGTGTGTCATGATTTGCTATGTTAATAATAGGACGAAGTCTGTAGCAGGTCAGGTCACTACAAACAGTGTTTACTACAGCTTATCACATGTTGCACAGGCTGAAATATTTGCCACAAGCTAGCATGGTACATTCCATACAGTTGTATATCATGTAGGGCTGGGATTGATAACTCGGGTACCCGGGTCCTACTCAGTACCCACCTGACCCGGGTACCCGAGTTATCCGTCCCAGGTGGGTACTGAGAAGGACCCGGGTACCCACAGGACTACCCGGACCCGTGGCTAGTCACGTGATATATTGTTTAATGACAAAAATTATCTAATAGTCTATGGTTACACTAAAGTCACTAATGTTTGCATTTCTTTCTGACTGTGCACCCATTCCTTCTCATTTTTCATATTGTTGAATAAAGACATAACTTAATTCAACTTCACTGATGACCAGATTGTTTAATACATGTATTTAAATACATTTTGCCAGGGCTATGCTAAAAATGTTCCCAATCCGACATTTTGGAGGGTGGGTTACGGTTGCTGTAGACATGTTACATCACTGTTGGGATTTGAACCTGGGTCTATGTGTGGCAAGCAAACACACCATCCATTGAGCTAGCCACTCAGCAGCTCTGACAACTTGTTGGTGTTTTAGTCCATTTTGTTTTTATTTGTGAATATGAAAGAAATATGTAACCAAGAAACCAGGTGTTATGTAGATCTAGAGGATGGTATTATAGCTGAGTCTTTAAGCTATTCCTATGTCTGTGCTATTGGGAGATATATATGTCACACATATTGTCATCACCGGACGTGTCCTGGGCAGATAACTGATCATATTCGCCTTAAGACATCTCTAGACGGACAATCCTAGCTATGCCCAGATAATGGGCCTGAGTCACTCAGGAAAGTGTACATTCCGATAGTGGGCGTGGCACGCATGTAGGGCTTCTGTTGCACATGCTGCACAGACGGGACGTTATGTGACTATGCATGCTGTGTGCTCCTGCATCACTAGGTAGGAAGCACATGTACATGAAGGCAGTGTTAGCTACAGATTACTCTCTACAGCACGTGACGGCAGTGTCAGCTACAGATTACTCTCTAAAGCACATTATCTTTTACATTTTGCATATTAATAAAATTTAGTATGAACTCATATAAAAAATATACCTATTATTTTTTTATTTTTTTATTTATTTATTTTTTAAATTTTTTTTATTTATTTATTTATTTATTATTTATTTATTTATTTATTTATTTATTTATTTATTTATTTATTTATTTATTTATTTATTTATTTATTTATTTATTTATTTATTTATTTATTTATTTATTTATTTATTTATTTATTTATTTATTTATTTATTCAATCCATCCAATTTCATTCATCTCTATTAATAAAATTTAGTATGAACTCATATAAAAAATAAACCTTTCTATTTATTTATTTATTTATTTATTTATTTATTTATTTATTTATTTATTTATTTATTTATTTATTTATTTATTTATTTATTTATTTATTTATTTATTTATTTAATATTCAATCCATTCAATTTCATTCATCCACATCCAAAGCTCAGATGTTCATTAGCTTCAACATTTCCTCTCCAAGCCAGCGAGATGATTTACACATGTCATGTACTTTTTAGCCCACTAAACCATTAATCTGTGCAGCTAATATACCTTTTTACAGCTCATAAAGCGCTGAAGAGATCCTCCCTTGCCATACAAACATACAATTATCACCCAACACCTTTCCAAACACAGCCATAGCCTATACATATCTCTAGCAAGTGCCCCTGCATAATATTGTCGGCTGGAGTGCCCCTATTTCCATGTATGTCGCACTCTCTGCAGAACCCCTTCCCAAACGTATCATCCTCCTCATCGTACAGGTCAATACAGTGGTCAGTGGATGATTAAATTGACCTACCTGAGAAGTGTGAGCTCAGCAAGTACTATTCACTGATCAAATACTAGACGAGTTGTCCATCCCCAAGGCTCACACAAAGTCCCACTATCTGTGTAGTGAAGTGTGTAGGTGTACAATACCCCGCCGTCGGTGAAATCTTTTAGCGTCCCCACTCCCACACAAACCAGGTCATAGGAGGGGCTTGTGTCACCTGCTCGTTACTTTCTATAGGTAAACCAGATAGGTAGATTTCTCACTGAAGCTGAGCTAATTAAAGTTGCTGCGTAGCCGATTTTACTGTTTAATTTGTAGTGGATGTTGGTCGAGCTAAATGCTCTATATTTATACATCACATACCATCACTGTCACACTGTCAGTGAAGTTATTTTTGGAATGTATTCAATATGTGATAGCTAAGTTTGTATGCCAACTTACAAACATTTATACAAACTCATAAACACTAAATTTGAATCTTATATTACATGTTTATGTCGCAGGGTATGTTTTTTTTCAAAACGTAATATTTCTTAAGACCTTGCATGCATGATCCCATTTCTTTGCACAGTTGTTAAACGGTTCAATGCTGTATACATGTACCTTTGAACACTGTGACCCCTGACCTGTGACCTTTCACCTGTGAGTCATATGGTCATGATAAAGGGAAATGTCACATGTCACTATGGTGTTAAGAGCCTGTTTTAGCCAGAGTTCATATTACTCTGAAAAAAAAGTTTATTTCTGGGGTTTAGAATACATGGAAGGCATATGTGTATGCAGATCTACCTGTAATCAAATGCAGGCGAACATTGCCCTTCCGCAGGTGTGCTGCAAGATTGAAAGGAAATAGCACTTCCTCTTTATAGCATGAAGTTATGGAGACATGACACTGACCTCATTATAGGAACTTCCCTCTTAAATATCTGAACATTGATTCTGGGGTATTGTCTTACGTGAAAGTTCACTGGTGCAAGACCCTTCTCAAGAACATGGGCTTCTTCATCAGAAATTGTGTTATATCGGGGTGTGCAAAACATAATTTGAAGCTTGAAATTGCAATTGATCGTTCATCTTGTGAGATTCTTGAATCACTGATGCATGTCTATCTTGCTGGAGGTAAAGGATCACTTTGGTTACAGTGGATAACAAGGGTCTTTGCAGAAGATGATCCATACCTGTCAACTCTTATGCATTTCGTGTGAAGTTCGTGCTTTTTCAACAAAACTCACTCACTCATGAAATGCCACTGTAACCTCACTCCCATTCGCACAAAACAATGTTTAAAAGCATCGTGCTTTAATTTTGTGTTCATCACAGTTGCTATAGCGCTTTGCTCATTATCTTGGTTTTAAGACAATATACAAAAAATACTTTCAACCTGAGGGCTAAAAAATTCTGGGCAAAATGTTTTAAATCATTTTTGGATGGAGGGTGTCGCCACCCTAATTTAACCCCCACCGAAGCTTCACCCCTGGACCCTGGCTGATATACATTTCACTCATTGAATATATTTGGGTTGACATTTATGCAGATAAGCCTTTACTGTCATGGCAGGTATAATTATCAATTCAAATTTCTTACTCCATGAATGAAACTTTATTCATTGTAAAACCATGGCTTCTGTCACAAGACTGTGAGTGGAGATTACTCAGTGATAATAACTGTACCAAGCACCCCATGCCCTGATCCAAGCACCCTATGCCCTGATCCAAGCACCCCACTAAGCACCCCACACCCTGATCCCAAGTGTCCCACCACCCTGATCCCAAGCACCCCACACCCTGATTCAAGCACTCCACACCCTGATTCAAGCACCCCACACCCTGATCCCAAGCACTCCACACCCTGATCCCAAGTACCCCACACCCTGATCCCAAGTACCCCACACCCTGATCCCAAGTACCCCACACCCTGATCCCAAGTACCTCACACCCTGATCCCAAGTACCCTACACCCTGATCCCAAGTACCCTACACCCTGATCCCAAGTACCCCACACCCTGATCCCAAGTACCTCACACCCTGATCCCAAGTACCCCACACCCTGATCCCAAGTACCCCACACCCTGATCCCAAGTACTTCACACCCTGATCCCAAGCACCCCACACCCTGATTCAAGCACCCCACACCCTGATTCAAAGTACCCAACACCCTGATCCCAAGCACCCCACACCCTGATTCAAGCACCCCACACCCTGATTCCAAGTACCCCACACCCTGATTCCAAGTGTCCAACACCCTGATCCCAAGTACCCCACACCCTGATCCCGTGTACCCCACACCCTAATCCCAAGCACCCCACACCCTGATCCCAAGCACCCCACACCCTGATTCAAGCACCCCACACCCTGATCCCAAGTACCCCACACCCTGATCCCAAGCACCCCACACCCTGATCCCAAGTGTCCAACACCCAGATCCCAAGCACCCCACACCCTGATCCCGTGTACCCCACACCCTAATCCCAAGCACCCCACACCCTGATCCCACGCACCCCACACCCTGATTCAAGCACCCCACACCCTGATCCCAAGTGTCCAACACCCAGATCCCAAGCACCCCACACCCTGATCCCGTGTACCCCACACCCTAATCCCAAGCACCCCACACCCTGATCCCAAGCACCCCACACCCTGATTCAAGCACCCCACACCCTGATCCCGTGTACCCCACACCCTAATCCCAAGCACCCCACACCCTGATCCCAAGCACCCCACACCCTGATTCAAGCACCCCACACCCTGATCCCAAGCACCCCACACCCTGATCCCAAGCACCCCACACCCTGATCCCAAGCACCCCACACCCTGATCCCATGTACCCCACTAACTACCCTGACACCCTGTCCGGATGCACCCTATGCAGCCATCCAGTGACAGCTCCAGGCAGCCACAGCTGCACCCAGCAAGCCCGTGAGTCATGTTTGAAGGCTGCAATGTACTGCTACCCCCAAGATGACTGTACAGGACCCACAAGGGTCTCTCCCCCTGGACAGTGACATCCAGCAGTATTTGGGGATCCTTCCAACAACACAACTGTCAGGTGGCATCTGGACAGTCATGATATGCTGCCTGTCTACAGCTTAAGTATACTGGTCCAAAAGACAAACCAGTCAAACATTGTATGTGGAACTCTAGCCTTAAAGATCTCACTTCTGATGGATAAAAGCCATTAATTCATATTGAATTCCTCCATGTTTGTGTTGCCCTATCCTGCAAGACACTGACATGCACTGTTGAAAAACAATCTGTATAACATCTGCAGCGTATGTGATAACTGTCCAAATGCATATCAAGGCAGCTTAGCGTGAATATCCCACGAATAGTATTGACTCGAGCCGTTATGATTCACTCGTGTATTCGGTGAACTGAACTATGATCCCTTCATGAATTGCATCGTTATGCGTGGTCACTAGCATCGAATATATACAACCAAAAATTAAACAGAGTGTTTTTGACTTGACGTCTGTTATTTATCAAAGCAAGATATGCTAAATGAAATATGAATAAGCCATGTAGTCTGTTGAGTGGGTCATCTCCAACTCCACCTCGGTTAAATGGCTGAATATCCAAAACGATAATCAATTATTTGGACACCAACGGCAGCATTGTAGCGAGCGATCACTGTATTTTTCATTGAACATAATAAATAATACATCAAGTGCTGATTTGTATTCGTGAATAAATATTCGTATTTGATACCCTATATTCATGATATGTCTTGTATTTGCCTCATAGTTATTTTTTGCAGCCCTAGTAGTGATGTTATAAGTGTAGGAGAAACCATGTCTCCGAGGGATTACTAGAGATTGTTAACAATAACATGAGGGAACGTTCCCTCATGTGAGGGTTTACAATCTCTAGTAATCCCTTTGAGACATGGTTTGTCCAACTTATATACCGATTGTAAGCCCTCCTGCGAGGTGTTACCACAATTTCAAAAACTCCATATCAAGTTACACAAACAGCCAGTAGGTTTATAATGTGTTATTCACTGTTCTGGTTTTTCAACCCTGCCCTCCTCAACCACATCTCCTCCACTTTATAATTCTTTCCTGATGACCCTCCTTGAAGTCTGTCCTGTGTCTTAGTGACCCTCCTTGAAGTCTGTCTTGTGTCTTAGTGACCCTCCTTGAAGTCTGTCCTGTGTCTTAGTGACCCTCCTTGAAGTCTGTCCTGTGTCTTAGTACCCCTCCCTGCTGCTTCAGTCCAGGCCTCACACATGTATGTATGAAAGACCAGCTCTAACATTTCAGTCATGTCGACAGGTTGGTGATATATATAACATAATGTTTACACACAATAGGTCATAATGACCTAAGATAGGGCATGGCGACCAAGGACACAAAGTGCCTATTATCCCTTATGATACATGGAATAAATCCGTATTACCATGAGTGAGCCTGATTCAGCCACAGCAACCTGTAGCATGTTGTATGGAGATAAGTGAGTTCCTATTTACACATCCATACATTAATGTCACATACAGGCTTTAGACCCTTGAAGATCCAGGGTGGAATAGGTCTTCAGCAACCCATACTTGTAGTGAAAGGCGATTATGCTTGTCGTAAGAGGCGACTAATGGGATCGGGTGGTCAGGCTCGCTGACTTGGTTGATGCACGTCATCGATCCCAATTGCGTGGATCTGTGCTCATGATATTACTTTGCATTGGACAATCACAGGACAGGTTCTGTTAAGTTTTTGTTAAATCAGTCAGCTAATGGTTCTTGGACTATTTGTCCAGGCCCTGTCAAATACTGGCTACCCTGTTTGTGGCCCAGTCAAATACTGGCTACCCTGTTTGTGGCCCAGTCAAATACTGGCTACCCTGTTTGTGGCCCAATCAAATACTGGCTGAGTCTGTACATGGCCCAAGCAACCCTGTCCTCAGTGGGGTTTTGGGTAAGAATAGCTTTCCAGTAACCTGTGCTTGTATAAAAAGGTGGCTTTATGAACCAGATGTCTGGTCTTGATGACTTGTTGATTTCATATTTTTAAACCCTGACATCAAGATTCCTTGCTCATAATATCAATCATTGGTGTGTCTGGTCCAGATTTGATCATCTTCATCTGAGGTAGCAGAATATAGTTTGGAGAAGGCGTCCAACATACTCTTGACTTCCCCAGTAGTCAGTGATACAGTGAACGCTGTGACAGCCAAAACACCTAATAAAAGGTAATCCAACTCAGAAAT